AACCAATCAGCTGCCAGGCAGGCACTTTCTGTGTGCGTGACACGTCTTCTTGTTGCAGGTGTGGCACAGTGAAGAGGATGATGCTCAGTCCGACTCTCTGAGGAAGAAGGCGGTGAAGGTGAAACACGTGAAGAGACACGAGAAGAAGCCGGAGAAGAAGGTGAGAGCGGTTAGATCACCTGACCACAGATGTCACTGATGATGTCACTAACACACCCGTCCTCGTGCAGAAGTCCGTGTCTGTTCCTAAAGAGGAGGCAAAGCCTCGGCGCCACAAAGTGAAGCAGCGTCACAGAGAGCGTGTGCGGCACAGTGAGCGAGCGGGAGAGGGTGGAGTAAAAGAAGTAGGCGGAGCTTTGAGGCAGTGTCTGGGTCCAGGATGCATCGAGCCGGCGAGGGCCAACTCCAAGTACTGCTCCGAGGAGTGCGGCATGAAGCTCGCCGCCAAGTGAGTCTGAGATCATCTAAATGTTCATGTGAACACGACACGGCTGACACGGCAAGCCCGCCAGAGAATTCAGCAGTTTCTAAATTCAGCAGTTCTATGCTGAATTTAGAAAGTTTGTATCAAGTCAGCTGCCATATCTAATTGGACCGTTGAGTCCATTAACCCTTTTTACACGTGAAAAAAGAAGTGCATACTATTTGTTCCAAACACAAACTGGCAGGTTATTTCTGAAATACAAAACTTTTGGTCATCTTTCCAGAGGTGAAACACGTCCATTTCCGCCATTGATTGTTTTTTTCTGGTCAGTCACTTTGCCGTGCAGCAGCTCTGAGAAGGTGAGAGGACTTGCCTAATGTGAATTTGACTGGCTTCCCATTCTTCTCACACAGTTTCTAACAGCATCCAGCTCAGCTGCTTAGCATAGATCTGACTATTCGAGAGCATATTATGCTCACCGCTTTGGTTTTGGTGGTGATATCGTCACAGATACAGCTGTAGTAAATGATAGGTGTTGCTATTCAGAGAAAACCTCTGGATCATCCCTGATTGAAGAGGAGAAGTTAAACCAAAAGGGAAGAAACTGCCAAGATTTTTTTCTCCAAGGTTTTCTCCAGGGTCTCATGAAGCTGTTGCAGCATCTCCTTGCTGTATAATCCGATATTCTGTGCTTCTGCGGGTAAAAAAGATTGGTGGTAAAAACCGCCAAAATTGTGCACGACCACCCGACATGGCACCAAAATGTGATTTGTGCCAGCACTTCTCGTGCCGTGTATTAGGTGCCGTGTACACCTTATTACTGTGTACTCTGGGGTTTCACCCAGGACCTCAAACTTATGCAGAAAGCAAACATGACATTGTCTGTTAACTTGGTGTAATTTGGTTTCTCAGAACCAGTACATGTTTCTGAAATCTGTTGGTTCTTTGACGCCTCGTCTCTGTCTCTCAGTCGCATCTATGAGATCCTGCCTCAGAGGATCCAGCAGTGGCAGCAGAGTCCCTGCATTGCCGAGGAGATTGGACGCAGACAGCTGGAGCGGATCAGGAAAGAGCAGCAGGCGGCGAGGATGCGTCTCACGCTGATGGAGAAACGCTTCCATGAGCTAGAAGGCATCATCGCCAACGCCAAACTTCAGCAAGTCCAACAGCACGAGGAGGTCTGTGGCAACCGCAGCCACCCAGTGCACTCCGCTGTTAGTGTGATCAGCTGTTAGTTAGTCTCCTCTCTCTGTTTGTCTCTGCAGGTGACTGAGGGTGACGGTGACGACACAGACTTTCAGATCTTCTGTGTTTCCTGCAGTCACCCCGTCAATCCGAAGGTGGCTCTGCGTCATATGGAGCGATGCTACGCTAAGGTTAGCTTAAAAAAACAGGAAGTGTGTCCACCTGGGGTCTGTACTGGATATGAATTACAGCTGCCTTAATGAGGTGATCAAACAGGAAATTAATAACAGCGATGTGGGAACAAAGGCCACAATAAACCAGTGAAATTCAGTGACAGCTGGAAAAATGACCTTTAGCAAATTCACCCAATGCTGCTGTTCAAATCTTCTGTTTAAAAGAGCTACTCATCTGGAGTTTAATAATAAATGAGGATAATAAGTTCTCCCTAAAAGATTATTGCTGCAACCTAGCACCCCTGAGGTCCTCCACTTTTAACACCATTGGTCTAAGTCTGCACATGAAGTCAGAATATTAGCAGGCATATGGTGGTTATGGCACAGCAGCTAGTTTTACATCCCCTGGCGTGACAGTCAGCTGTTCTGAGGTAAATTGTGGGTAATGTAGGCACCAAGGAAAACTGTTTAATCTGATCTTTCTGTTTCTTTGTCCGACAGTATGAGAGTCAAACATCGTTTGGTTCCATGTATCCAACACGCATAGAGGGGTAAGACCGTGCACCTGTCCGTCCCTCGTGTCTTTACCCGTTCCTCTGTTTGTGTCTCATCTCTCTCTGTCTCTCTCAGAGCCACCAGGTTATTCTGCGATGTCTACAACCCTCAAAGTAAGACGTACTGTAAGCGGCTGCAGGTTTTATGTCCTGAACACTCCAGAGATCCAAAGGTTTGTTTATGTCTGCAGAAAACAACTTATGACTCGATCAAGGCTTTAATCCGCTGCTCTTTTCCTCCCTTTCTTAAACTCAATGAAGAACTTTTTTATTTTATTTTAGCAAAATACAAAAATTACATAACTTGTCAGCTGTGGATATTTAAAACATGTCTCTGTTCAGGTTAACTTACTGTCTCAAGTCTTTAAAGGACATAACATCAGAAATTGGATGCTGCACAGTTTTAATGTGGCATGTGGTCCCGAGTCTGGACTCAGAGTCTGGAGAAGAGTACAAAGTCAGGACTAGCTGGTCCTGACTTTGGGCTCAGAGACTCAGAGTCAGGCACACATGTTTCTGACGCTTTATTGACTCTGGAGTCTTTGGTCCTGACTCTGGAGACAGTCAGGCAGTCTGAGCTAGCTGATCCCGACTCTGGTCCTGACTCTGGACTAGCTGATCCCGACTCTGGTCCTGACTCTGGACTAGCTGGTGCTGACTCTGGTCCTGGCTCTGGACTCAAAGTCAAGCAGACATTTTCCTGATTCTTTGTTATTGACTCCCTGTTGCAGGTCCCAGCAGACGAGGTGTGCGGATGTCCTCTGGTCAAAGATGTGTTTGAGCCAACCGGTGAGTTCTGTCGGGTGTCTAAGAGGAAGTGCAACAAGCATTACTGCTGGGAGAAACTTCGCCGCGCCGAAGTCGACCTGGAGCGAGTCCGAGTGGTATCTCTATTCATACAAACTTTATTTAGTGCCTCGTCATTAACATTAAGACACACCTGGACTTTTCTAACTCTCTCTTTGTCTCTGTCAGTGGTATAAACTGGACGAGCTATTCGAGCAGGAGAGGAATCTGAGGACCGCCATGACCAACCGAGCCGGTTTATTGGCTCTGATGTTGCACCAGACCATCCAGCACGACCCAATCACCACCGACCTGCGCTCTGCCAAGGACAGGTAGACAGGTGACGTCAGGCAGACGTTTTCCTGGATGAGTTTAACGCTCGTTTGCAGTTTTATTGTGGAAATTTGTGGGAAGGTGAGTCAGAGCAATGTTTCATTCACAAGTGAACAAAAAACAAGAGAGATTTGATTCTGACTCCAGCCTCATTCAAACTCAGACCTCATCTGATTTTAGGAAGTCAAACTGTTTTTATATTTCATATTCACACTACAAATGTAGGAAACCTGAGCTCATGGATGGACACTCAACTAAACCTTCTGCTTAGGTAACGCTGCCATGAAAGCTGGATCTCAGCTTAGCTTTGTGGGCAGTTGTATCCTCACTGTTAGTTTTAATAAGCTGGGGATGACTGGACACACAAATATGATCACATTTGATCCTGAATGAGCCATGATGTCTACATGAGGTGCTTATGTGTCCTCCTCGTCCTGGAAAGCTGCTCTCATTCAGTTTAACCTACAAGTATTATACTACCCACATCCGACCAATCTGAAATGTGGCTGTGCTTTGGAAATGTGTCTTAAGGTTGATGATGAAACACTACATGTTCACTAAAGATGCACACATTTTATAAATCTCTAAGTCATCTTGTTACAACTCATTCCTCCTGGTTTCTTTTTACAATGTGAGCCTGTTGCAGTTCAAATAAAAATTGTGTAAATATCAGTTTAAACTTTCCCCCATAGGATCATCAAAAAAAGTAAGCATAGAAGAAAAAAAATCAAATGCTAGCCAAAAAAAAGATAGATTCTGTGACTTGATTGGCTCTTGTTTCAGTCTAAGTGAATAAACAGCCAATCGGGTAAGCATAGGAAATAAATTTTAAGCACAAAGAGCTGAAGTCAAGTGAAATTAATTAATTAAATAAATAAAAAGAAATGTCCTGATAAAGAACTCTTGGTTGTATATTGATAAAAGTCAAACTTTTCTGTGTGACTTTAATTTCCCTCTGAGAGGAAACCCTTCATTTCGATCTCGATGTCTCGTTTTTTTATATCTCTTTTTATCCAAAGTGTTATCATTATGTTGTTGTTTGTTCAAAATGTTTCAATAAAGTTTGATATCTCATTATTTGTGCTGATTTTGAGCTTTTCTGTTCTCAGAGTGAATGCCAGTGCTGCACTAATTTACTTTAAACTGCATCACAACATTAAACTGGCTACCCAACATGTTTTTTTAATAGACTAATAAAATTTAATATATGCAACATCCATGAGAAAGATTTGAGGTAATCCAGAGTTTATTGTAATTAAATTCAGTTTTATTTTATTTTATTAGGCAGAAGAAGAAAAATCCTATACATTATTGTAATTTTTAGTGTGAATAAAGGGCCACAGTATTATATTAGGTAAGACATAATAGGATTATTATTAAAATGAAACAGCAAAAAGGAAAAGTGTAAAACATAACCTACATTTTGAAGACGCTATTTGTTTTAAGCACATATGAATCTATAGAGATTAAGAGAAAAGCTCGTGACATCGATCTCTAACGGTTTTTAGTTTTAAATCATTTAAAAAAAAGTCCCGGCGCGCGCCACACCCTTGGCTGCGCTGCTCGGTGACGTCATACGCCTCAGACGGTAGCGGTGTACGGTTGGCGCTCAGCGGCTCGGAAACAAACAGTACACTTCCTGGTCGTCCCGGTTCCGGAGGCTGCAGCGGGTCTTCAGACGGATTTTGACCCGGTTTCAAGGTGTGGATGTTTTCGGCTGACTGTGAGTCCCAGTTTATCCGCTCAGTCTGGGTGTTTCATACTAAGAACAAGCTAGCAGGAGGCTAACAGCTTCTGCTGCTTCACTATTTACACCGAGAGAGGATGACCCCGGTCCCGGTGTACCGGTCCTGGTGTTGGCCACGATCATGATCTTAGAAAAAGCATTTATGCATCAATCTGAAGACGTAACAGATGTGAAAATCTCTAAAAATATATAAATTAATTAAATTATAAATAAAATAATGCTGAAGAAATATGAAAAACAATAAACGTAGTTCAGTTCAACTATATACACATCCATAAATTACGGTGGTAGTCATTTTCAGGCACTCTTTTTTTTTTTTTAAAGTGAACAATAATAACAGAGAGAAACCCAATGAATGGCATTGACCAGGACTTGGCGAAAGTAGGAAGAAAAAAAGCTAAAAGAACGTCTTCCTTATAACACAATCACACCTGGAGAAGAAGTGTACTGGTACAGATTTTCTAGAGCAAGGGTGATGTGCAGAGCTGAGTAACTACAGAGAGACAAAGTGGACGAGTGTGAGAATAAAGATATGGGAAAGAGCTGTTGAAGTTAGGATAAGGAGCAGCAGTATGGATCATTCTGAGAAAGAGCTCAGCAGATTTGATGTTTGCTTTGAGAGTGTTGATAGAGATGTATAGAGAAAACCAGAAGGAGCCTCACTGTGTCTTCATGGATCTAGAGAAAGCTTATTATATGGTACCCAGAGAGGAACTGTGCAACTGCATGAGGAAGTCAAGAGTAGTGGGGAAGCATGTGAGGGTGGCGTGACAGTGATGGGTTCAAGGTGGGAGTGGGATTACATCAGGGACCGGCTCTGGGAAACTTTTTTTTTTTTAAACTTCTGCAACTGACCTCCTGAGTTCCAAGATGTTTACAGAGTGTAGTTAAAGAAAAAAAAGGTGATGAAACTCTTCAGTCTCAAATTCAAAGTGAGCAGAGAGATTTAAGTAAACAAAAAATCTTCTCAGTTTCAGCGTACTTGTCTCTGTGCTATTTGAGGTTAATTAAAGGGTTTAATTAGTTTGGATTCTCATTGACACATTACACAGTCGTGACTCCTCTGTAACAAGGCTTGTTCTGGCTCGCAGGTGTGAAGGTTCTTCTTCATGTGTCTTTGTTATTTTTGGTTCAGGTGGATCTGAGTGGATCAGTGATGCAGTCGGGGTCAGATCCTCCAGGGCATGGACCGAAGCCAGTTAGGAGATCCCCTCGTCTGTCCCCTCAGGTCAGTCACCCGACACAGGGATACACCTGGTTTTAACCTTCACCTCCTTTTAAACCTTTTTGCCGCTCAGCCATAAAATCTGACGGGGTGTTGTCGTCACCCTGCTAGGTGGACGCACAATGTGGATACTCAAGTTTGTGAATGCGATAACTCGAGAACGAAGAAATGAGTAGTATAGGTCCTCTTTAGGATTAAAGTGATACGCTCGAGGTGACGTGCTCCAGATTTAACTCGCTTTTTGTCAGTGTTACTATTTATGCTGCATGCGTTAAAGTTTACAGGTTGGCTTTAGCTGAGTATGAATTATTGACGAGTAAAAGTGGGCGAGGCAATCATTCATTTACCTGAGGTGAACTGTTATCTCAGATTGTCGTGCCTCTACTTCGATTCTGCACTCAGTTTCATGTAAACACCTGAGTGTTTGGATCTGTCATCAGTCTGCTTTCGTAACACCAGGCAGAAACAGCCCACCCTTTTCTTCTTCTTCAGCTTTTCCTCTTTTAGTTATTTGAACTCTTCTTCTTCTGGTTCTTTGCTGTTGTTGGAGCACTTGTGCTTTAACCCTACAGCGTATCAATTTGCTTCAGTCGCAGCAGAGAGGTGGGCTTCAGCTGCCCCTGTTTATGTTTGCAGGTCGGCAGCAGTGAGGGAACACAGGAGAACAAAGGAGGAAACAGCCTGCAGGAGCTGAAGAGGAGAGGAAGGATGGAGAGGACCAGAGAGGAGCGAGAAGAGGAGCTGAGTGGCAAATTGAAGACACTGGTGAGACTTTGCACTCTGTTTAATATTTGAAAAGGTTAGCATGCAGCTCAGGCCCTGCAGAGTGTTTGGAACAGAGGTGAGATGTCTGTGCTGGACCTCAGACCATCTCTGACCTTTCCACCAGTGTCAGCTACACCTGTGAAGGTGTTTCAAGGTTTTAAGCCAAACTCTAAAGATGGACATCCATAATAAAGTAGAGATAAGTAATGAAATAATATAAGCCTCCAGAAGCTCTTATGAGGAGACACAACAGCGTTCTCAGCCCAGCTGAGAGACTTCATCTCATGTCCTGGGTCTGCTCCAGTTCCATCAGAAACTGTGAGAGGCAAACTGTTTGTTTGGTGTGACCTGCTGTGAGACTGTCATGTGGTAATAGGTGGGGGTGAATAGGACTGTCTCTGCAAGTCATAAGCTAGAGGTATACCTGATACTGGCATCCTGAAACACAGCACATTATCATATTTTATCAAAAATGAAGTTTTATTTGATTATCTCTCCTGTGTGTGTGTGTGTGTGTGTGTGTGTGTGTGTGTGTGTGTGTGTGTGTGTGTGTGTGTGTGTGTGTGTGTAGGATCTGTCCAGCAGATCGGCAGCCAGTGGAACGGGTCTCGTTTACTCGGAGATCTTCACCCACCATAAGAACGAGTGGGACCCGAGGTAAGCAGCACCTCAGACAGGAGCTGTGCAGTTAAATCAGATGTTAATTACAGTTACATTTTTGACTAACATTGATCAGTAAAAGACAATAATTGAGTTTAAATGATTATTGTTTTATATTTTGTTTCGGTTCCTTTCAAAATTCAGTCCACACCAGGCTTCAGCACGTTCAGTTCAATTTGTGTTGTTTTTGTTTTGTTTTGTTTTAAGTGAAACATTAGTTTATGTTTACAGGTACACTGTTGAAACTGAAGCTGTCAATAAGTGAATTAAGTTTAATAAGTAATAATTGTGATTTCTGCTGTAGTCTGACCTCACGAGAAAGTTAATCAGCATCTTTGCTCATAACTGATTACCTGAGCTTCCTTTTCTTTGCCCTGTGTCCAAGTTTCACTGACTTGTGTCTCTGTTTGGCATCCTCAGGAACTCATGTTTTCTAAACAGCGAGTTGATTAATGGAGTGAATAATGCAGAGACTAATCCATGATGAATATTTAAGAGCTGGATGTTTTTTCAGATTCACAGATGGTCTCCATCATTCAGCAGCTCAGCGATTTCCTTCAGGGCAAAATTTATCATTTAAATTAAATATGAGCCTGTTTGTTAGTTTCATTTTTTTCACCTCGTACTTCTCCTCTAAAGACTGTTGTTAACTTTTAATTCATGCAAAGCGGGCTCCTGTTCTGCTTAACACAATCATATTTGCATCATAGAAGAAGGAGATCAGCTGTTACAGCTCCTCTGTTTTAGTTCATATGGAGCTAATGCTACAGGGGAGTCTGTCTGCTCATTTCTAGCTATATGCTGTTTTTCTTGGACTCTCCCAGAGTAGCTTTGCATGTATATTCTATATATAGTACCATTTGTAGATAGTACAAATTACTCTTGTGTAGTATTTAATCCATTTTGAATTATTTAAGCGTTTTGGCTTTTGTGTACATCATTTTTAAGATAAGATAAGAAGAACTTTATTTCTTTTGTCATACACATGCTCAATGCAGCAAGAGAGACAGAGGAGCAGAGGAATAAGATATACAATATGTACAGCAGAATACAAGTATACAGTAATATACAGTAGGATAGTGCAAAATATAATATCAAATAACTGTAACAAGTAACAATATAACTATGTCCTGAGAAATAACTAGCTTAGCTTAGCCATCAGTGCAGGTGATTCTAAAATTTTCTTATTTATTCTTCTATTTCTGTAGTTTTTTAATATATCCGATATAATATATATATATAATTATTAATATAATTAAATTTTCTTTTTGTGCTACTGTAACAAGTGAATTTCCCCAGTGTGGGATTAATAAAGTCTTTGTTGATCTATCTTTGAAATACTTTGTTTTCAGCCATCCAGAGAGTCCGGACAGAGTGACAGCCATCATGAAGGAGCTGGAGAGACAAGATCTGCTGCCTCTCTGTATCAGAGTTGAGGTTAGGCTAAATAAGAGCTCCTCAGAGATGAATATTAATAAAAGTCTTACTCTTACATCCTCGTCGAGTTTTATAGATAAGTGATCCTGACGTGTGTTTTTGTGTTTTAGCCCAGAGAAGCTACAGAGGAAGAGCTGCTGCTGGCTCACATGTGAGTCTGCTGATCACTGTTAAAGTGTCTTCTGTTTATTATTATGTTGCTCTTTGTTGTTTGCTGTCTCCTCTGTTTGTTTTTTTTGTTTGTTTTTTTTTTCTCCATACAGGTGACCCAGGAGTTGTTTATTTTTCCCCCCCCTTCTCACCGTCTCTTCTCCCCTTTGGTTTTCTTTCTCTCTCTCCCCCTCTTTCTCTCATTCATTCCCCCTGTCCTATTTATTAAAAAAAAAAAAAAAAAAAATGACAAAGGATGAACTGAAGCTCTGCCATCACGTAATGTCGCATACTGCTGTTTCTGATGTCATTTAAAAAAAAAAAAAAAAAAAAAAAGTGTCTTCTGTTTATGTTTTAATGTGTTCGCGCATAAAACCTGCCATGTGTTTGTGCTGCTGCAGGAAACACTATGTGGACCTGATAAAGTCGACTCAGACGATGACACTGGCTGAACTCCAAACTCTGTCCAACAAATATGATTCCATTTACCTCCATCCAGTAAGAACACACACACACATCTTGTTAATTCTTAATAAGCTCATTTTGTTCTTTATGATCGATAACTGGACAGCATGATGTTGTTAGTTGTATTTTGCACTAAATATCTTTTGTGTTTCAGGAGTCCTTCCAGGTGTCTGTGACAGCTGTGGGTGCAGTGCTTCAGCTGGTCGATCGGGTCATGACCTCTGAACTCAAGAACGGATTCGCCATCATCAGGTAAGAGAAGCAGATCGTCCTGCCCGGGGCAGCGCCGTGTTTTCCTTTGAACACCTGAACACAGCGCTGAAATAACAGATCGATATCGTGCCTCTCGCTTCTTTCAGACCTCCAGGTCATCACGCTCAGGCCAACGAGTGCAACGGTTACTCTATCTTCAACAACGTGGCGATCGCAGCTCGATACGCTCAGACCAGGCACGCCATCAGCAGGTGTGTAACACACACTCGTCTTCCTTCATTGTGTATACGTGTGACAATCTGGGGAGCTAGTATGTAGCTTTGTGTCTTAACATCTCAGGTCTTTTGGAGTTTTGGTGTAGCAAAGACTTTCTTTAAAAGTGCAGATCAATTATAAAAAGCTAAACCATCATCAGATGGTGGAGCTCCTCTTTCCGAACTCCCCGTGGGTCATTGAAAGCCTGAAATCAAACAAAATAAGGACTTAAAAGGTCTTGTTGTTCCTATGGGTTTGATGCAGATGTTAAATTTTCTTACATTATGTTTAAGACTTGTAGGAAAACAAGCTAAATAATAAAATTCATGTCGTAAATCAGTGATTAAAGTTGTTTCACTGATGACGTTGGGCCCTTATTCTCACGCAGATTAATTTATTTCAGGATGTGATTACATATTGTTGCCTTTGGTCCATTATTACCCAGTTTTCAGGACCATAAAGTAGGTCTTTGGCCTGTTTGAAGAAGCTGGAATACATCCTTTGTATATGGGTAAATGTGTTAACACCGGTACAGACAATTGTATTTAATTGTACTGGAAAATTGTTTACGTCAATAATTAATGAGCGTTGACATCTTATTTAACTGCAGTGGGCTTTCTGAACAAGCTGACTGTAGGGCGAGTTACACAATAATTGATCATATATTTGTTTTACATAATGTAATTAATTTATGTCTGCATTATTAGAAGTGACCATGTTGAGTTTTATTGATTACAAAAAAGCTTTTGATTTGGTTGAAAGAAGCAGTTATATATAGAAGACATTTTTACAGTTGTGAATAATTTATACCAAAATGCTGAGTCACACGTGATGCCTCAAAATCTGTATTCTAAATTGTTTGATTGTAATATAGGAGTTTGACAGAGTGAACAGTTGCTCTTTGCAGTCTTTTAAAATTATTTTGAGTATACAAAGATATTATAATGGACTATCATTTCTGTTGAGGTCTGTTTAAGACTTTTTGTCCTTCTGTATGCAGATGACACTGGAATATTGTCAGAATCGGAAACAGAGCTAAAATAGGAATTTTCCCAAAAGGTGACGTCTAATTTGGGAATTCTGTATTATGAAGAGTGAACGGTTATGTTTATCTTGGTCTAACACTTTAAAAAAGTCCAAAAAGTTGATTCTGTTCATCTGGACGTAGCGTTTTCAGTGGGAGAAACATTTTATCACTCATCCAAGTGAAGGATTTACTTACCTGGATGATGGAGTGTGCATCAAAACACTTGACAATAGCTATTAAAAAACAAAAGCAGCAAGCTGTAGTTTTTAACTAAAGCTAGAGATCTAGGATTATCTGTTGAAACTCAGTTACAGTTTGAACAGTTGGTCTCACCTGTATCGCTCTATGGGTTGGAGGTGTGGGGCTTTACATGTTAAATTTTTAAAGCAGCTTTTTAAGTTGAATAAAAATGCAGCAAATTGTGTTTTATATGGAGATTTGGGTGGATTTAAATTTAATAAAGATTGAATGTAGGATGGTTGGCTGCTGGTGTAGATTATTGAGCGGAAGTAGGAATAAATGATCATTTCTCGTGTTTAGCTTTTTGAAAAATCTATATGATAAAGGCCTTTTTAAAGTCGCCATGGATATTGAAGTTAAAGCAAATATTTGATCATAAAGGATTTTCTAATTTATGGGAACATAAAATATTGAATGACAGGTTATAAAAGCAGTAACTGAGATGAGGATATCTCATATTCTGAGACAAAATTGGAATTGAGAAATGTTTAACAATAGTCTTTATATTAATTACAGAATATTTAAGTGAGAATTCCAACTGGAAAATAATTTTTGTCGTTTAGATTATTCTGTTTTATTTAGCAAGGTTTAGATGTGGTGTTAGTCGTAGTAACGGGCAGATCTGATGGAGTCAAATATATTAAACTTTTATGTGAACTTTGTAGCTTGGGAAAACTCAGAGATGAGTATAATTATTTATTTGAATGTCGTTGTTTTTAGTTGCAAAGACAAAAACATCTGCTTGTCTATTTTAGGTTGAGCCCAAATGTCTATAAGATGGCAAAGTTGTTTATTACTAAGGATATTGTTATACTGCGTAAACTTGCAAAACTTGGTAAAGAAATTGTATCTGTATTTGGATGTGTGATTTGTTGATGGATATTTTATTTATGTATTTTTACTTTTCATTATAATGATTATGTGTATTAAAAAACACTGTGCTTTGTTGGTTTGTTTGTATAATTTCTCAATTACCCCAGGAGGGGGTTTAATGAGAATGAAATAAACGTAGCTTCAAGCTTTACTCTGAAAATCCCAGTGTTCACATTTTGTTTCTGTGTGTGTGTGTGTGTGTGTGTGTGTGTGTGTGTGTGTGTGTGTGTGTGTGT